CTTCCTTCCACCTGCTTCATTTAATTGATGAAGGTTTGAGCTTTTATTAATCTTTTTGAGCTCTTCTGTAAGATGCAGAAAAAGCTAATATGATATCATTGTATCTCACTAATGTGTGTGCTTTGTGAAATTGATACACCCTGCCAAGACATAAATTACTTAAAGTTTGATAAATGTGTGGAAATCAGGGAATGTTCAAACAGATAAAGCACAGCAATTTCTCTTTTTTCTCCCTTTTAAAACTCCACTTGGTGCTTGCAGTTAAATGTTTTTTGCATTATTATTGAAATATGATGGGACAAAAGACAGCAGTGATACCGATGGAGTCCCAGCAATTACAAAAGTAACCAGAGGGATATAGCCATGTGTTTTGTAGATAACATCTAACAACGTTGTCTTGGGCAGAGCAATTTACCAACAGGTTCAGAACCACCTGCAGTCTCTCCCAGAATGTTGTAGCATGGAAATTGTCTGTTCAGGAATGAGGGCGCCCGCCAGACACTTTGTACTTTCAGGTCCCTTTGCTGACTCATTCAGCAGGTTAGAATCAAAGATCCACAAACACATTTTGTTGGCAAAGAGAGCTCACCTGTGCCTGTGATCTGGCTATGACTCAGATGCCAGCAAGACTGGAAATAGGAGGAAACGATTGATTGATGTTCTGAGGTTGAGAAGGGTGTTTTCTACTCAGTCATTAATTTATCATATGGCACTGAACAAGTTGCTTGATTAACCATTAATCAGTTTCCTGGAGGCCTGAGAGTTCATACAACCCTCTGAAGACAGTTCTTGAATAGGAAACATGGTATTATCCATTGGGCCATGCAAGAGCCATCAGTCATTGAATGCCTCTTGCCAGAGATTGGGCTCTGTAATTTCCATCCAGTCTTTCATTTTGTCCTTACAATCGATCAACAAGGGAGATATAGGCTCACATCAGACACTTAAGTGAGGGGTGTGAGGTCATCAGGCACCAAATCTCTGTGCTTTTTCTACCATGCTGATTCTATACTGGGAGTGTGTGGATGAGTGTGGGGTAAGGTTATAGAACTATATATAGTATAGTTATAGTCATCCCTCATTAGGTCTCTGAGGTTAAGCATGAGCTTTGGGGACTTAGATCATACAACACTCTTTGTAGACCTGCTTTAGGGGAAGGTGCCCTCCCGGCAGTGATGTATTCATTTTAAGAATATATTCCACTGGCCATGTGTAGCAACATGGATGGACCTTGAGGGTGTTATGCTGAGCGAAATAAGTCAGGCAGAGAAGGACAAATACCATATGTTTGCACGTATAGGAGGATTAGGAGGAACTTGACGGAGGACCAAGGGGGAGAAGAAGGGCGGAAATGGTGGGGGAAAGGGAGAGAGGCAAACCATGAGAGACTCTTGAATGCTNACTGATGGATGTGGGGGGGAGGGGGGGATAGGCATGAAGGAGGGCACTTTGGGGATGAGCACTGAGTGTTATGTAGAAACTAATTTGACAATAAACTATTTGTAAAAAAAAAAAAAAAAAAAAAGAATATATTCCAGGGGTAAGGTCAAACAAGCTATGCCAAAGGGAGAGTGAATTGGAAGAGGAGGTACAATTGTCTGCTCATTAGGACAATTAGCAATATACTTATCCTTTTAATTACACTCTTCTGCCAATATATCATTATCTAATAACGTTTTGAGATTTGGGTTTATATTTGGAAATCAGTATTTGTGATAACTGTCATGTAGTTTAAAGTAGTAAACAGATAAGCTTATACACAGCTTTTCTCAACTTCTTTAATATTGCTGTCAAGCAAGCTAGAAATGTGATGGTCTAGGGAAAAGCAAAATAATTAAAATATATTTACATCTACTTTTTATCTAAGGAACTGTCCATGAGTATTTTCATGGGAACAGAGGCCAATTATAGATCTGTGCTGTAGTTAAATTGTATTATTTTTTATATAAGCCAACCTTAAAATCAAGAGCTCCTTGAAGAAGTTTGAACCTGAAGAGTACTGTTTAGAATACATTTTTTAGAAATTAAATTACATTTTAAGTTCATAAGGGAACTCTTTTCTGAAGAGTTGAAGAGCCTTTCTAAAAGCAAGTAATCACATCTAAGTTATCTGCTTGATAAGCTTAGATCTGTATTTTTTTTAAACACACTTATTGTTTAGGGTTAGTCAACATATGTTCAGGTCAAGTTGTTACAACACAAATTACTACAAAGAAAATCTTCATATTTTTTTAAAACTCAGCAAATGATCATTTATTATTGTTATTATTGTTCTTGTTATTATCATTTAGCAATCTCAGAACTATCACAGCAGAAGTCCTAGAAATAAGAGGATTTCTTAACATCTTATAATGGCTTCTACAATGAAAAAAAGTCCAGTACCAGTTAACTTGCAAATTTACTTGTCATTGAATGATGGGTTCAGTGTTTATAGGTTTCCAATAATGGAAAAGTAAGGAGGAAACCAGGTCAAGCACTAAATGAGAAAAAATGACCCAGGCAGAAAAAATTCAGGAAAATGTATAATGTAAAACAAACATTTTTAGGAAGAAAAAAAAAGATCATGTTGCTGTTGGTAACAAAAGATGTTCTCATACTTCTAAGTAAAAAAATGTTTTTGAATAGAAAATGGGTCTTAGTTCTACTAACACCGTATTGATCGGCAACATGGTGCATAAAAGTAAGAACTGAGATTGCTTAAAAACAATTTGGAAAGGGAAAATGTCAGAAGGGATTTACCCTATGAAAAGAGAGGAAGGAAGACAGGAGTGAGGAAAGAAGTTTGGAAGTTGTACCACGTAGGGGAGTAGAGGTCAGGAAGTAAACTTCTTGTGTACAAGATTCTAACAAGTGGTAGGTGTGTCTGTCAGCATTGACCAAGCAAGGCACATCTTATGAAATACTGAAAATGGATGAGAAACAAATAATAGAATCTGGGCAACAAGAATCGTAATCACAGGGAAGAAATTTGACCTTGATCAGCAAGGGGTTTCTTATCTGCCCACGTGTCCTTGGATGTCTTGCTGGGGAGAGGCTGGCCACATCAGTTGGACTAGGCTGCATCCGTCAGTTCTCAGAAAACTCAGGTCATAACTAAAGCCAGTACTGAACTCCATGGGCTATTACCCATGGATTTGAATGAGATTTGTGCACATCATAATTAAGAGTATTCAAAATCAGAAAGCTAGTTACAGTATCAGAAACACCCAGAATATTTTGAACCAGAAATCCAGAGTAAGGATTCTTCTTTTCCTGGTGAATACACTAACTTTTCAATAACAACAAAGGAAAGAAGTATCAACTCAGGATTCATAAGCTCCGAAGAAGGTGGCATGCATTTAGGTTCTCAAAATAGTAAGAATGTGCATTACATCAATTTGTCCTTCTATCAAACCTCAGTAATTTAAGGGAAAAGAATTTTTAAACATACTAGACATGATGAAGGAAAACTAATCAGAAACAAATATATATATTATGAACCTCACCTCCCCGCCCCAAGTACAAAAAAGGGAAAAAAAACGCACACATATATTGAAGTCCTTGGTTTCCAACTCTAAAGTGACCTTGGGAACAAGGTATAGGTGCAAACATTTTTACACAAAGCTTTATTAGAACTTCCAACTTTTATGAATATATAAGAGATAACCTCATGTTATAAATTGTACCATACAGTGAAGTGAAATATTTATAATCCAAGCTATGTCTTTTTCTTTTCTCAAAATTGGATTGAAAGTAATAATTTTTTGTAATGATCTGAGACTAGTTTTACCAGGTGCTTTGCCAAGTTTGAAAGGTTTGGGAAATACAGTTCATAAATACAGCTTCACTTCTTTCTCATCCTTTTCATCATGCTGACAGTTTTCTGGAGAATCATTACCAGAGTGGTTTGTGTCATTAGAGATAAGAGGTTATCTGTGTTTCCACCAGAAGCCTCTATTTTCCGGACTTCATAACTTATCCATAAATATTCACTCCAGGCAACAGTTTCATATATTATGATTCTGTCCCTCAAAATCAATATTGACTTAACTAAATGATTTTTAGAAATTATGAGAATTCTTACACCACAAAGAGAATAAAAAGAAAAATCAGACACAGCTTAAGTTCTATGTTTCAGTGGGTGGGATCTGAACCACGTTCTGTGGAATCCATAAAACATTTGTAGCCTTTTAAACAATTCTTTCAGGGTATATAATTCAGTTGTAATAACATTTGTTGAATAATGCGTAGCCTGTTATTAATTAAAAATATACATTGCAATTTGTTTCTGTTTCTCTAAAGACCAGAAAATTTGAAATTATAATCTTTCAACTAAAATTTTTGTAGAACTTTCTATTACTATTCACACTCCTTTTTTTGTTACAGAGTTTGAGATGGAATTACCAAGTTATGAAATAATATGCATAAGACTTTGAATATAATAATGCCCTTAATATTTACAAATATAAGAACTTATTAATATTTTATAATATTACCATTTTTATTATCAACATTACCAATATTATCAATATTTTATAATATAACAATCCATTAATAATGGACCTTTTCTAGCTTCTTAGTAGAAACCATCAGCATTCTGGAGTTGTCTTCTACCTGAAAGAGAAGACCTCACAAATTGAATGCTTTTTTGTTTTTGTTTTCTTTTTTTTTTTTTTTAACAAACTGAATGTTTTTATTGAATGAGATACCAAAACATATTCCTTCCTCCTATCTGGAAAGATAGTATTGTAAAGATTAGGAAGCTGAGACTAAAACCACATCAACCCATTAAAATGAAATACTCTCTTCCTAATTACATTTTAATTTTGGTACTCACAATGTTACGGTGTTTGGATGAAATGCTTGTCTCGTTCATTACACTGTTGAGCCCAGCTGTGTGTGTGAAATGCTATTTATCAAAAATCGAAATAATACTGCAAGCATTTCACCTGTGCTTTAGCTTTAGTGTGTATGCTCAAAGCATAACCTAAAGTTTATTTCTCTTTCTTCTTTTCAAACAGCTATTTTGTGACAGTAAGAAGGTGGTCCATGCCACAGAGGGGCTGGATTGGGAAGACAAAGATGCGCCTGGGACATTGGTTGGAAACGTGGTGCACTCAAGGATCATCAATCCTCTGCGCCTGTTTGTTAAACAGTCTCCAGTCCCAAAGCCTGGACACTTGGCGTATGCGGACAGCATGGAGAACTTTTGGGATTGGCTGGCCAATATCACGGAGGTTCAGGAGCCATTGGCAAGAACTAAACGGAGGCCAATAGTAAAAACGGGAAAATTTAAGAAGATGTTTGGATGGGGTGATTTCCATTCCAACATTAAAACTGTCAAACTCAACCTCCTCATCACAGGGAAAATTGTCGACCACGGAAATGGAACCTTCAGTGTTTATTTCCGACACAATTCCACAGGCCTGGGCAATGTTTCAGTGAGTTTGGTACCCCCCTCCAAAGTGGTGGAATTTGAAGTTTCCCCGCAGTCGACCTTGGAGACCAAGGAGTCCAAATCTTTCAACTGTCGCATTGAATATGAAAAAACAGACCGGGCGAAGAAGACTGCCCTGTGCAACTTTGACCCATCGAAGATCTGCTACCAGGAGCAGACTCAGAGCCATGTGTCTTGGTTGTGCTCCAAACCCTTCAAGGTCATTTGCATTTACATTGCCTTTTACAGTGTTGATTATAAACTTGTGCAGAAAGTCTGTCCCGACTACAATTACCATAGTGAGACTCCATACTTATCTTCTGGCTGAATTTTTTCCACAGTGATGTAAATGAGGGATGAATATATATTTAATTAGAATGACCAAGAACCAAGCCCAGCTCCTCATGATAAAGGATCCCTTTTGTTTCTGGCAGTGAACTTTAGTTCCCTATTAGATTTTCAAATTTAAAAAAAAGAAAGAAAAATAAACCTCTTTAAATGTGTAATGTGTTTGTTTTGTTACCTTAATCTAAAAAGTCAAACTATGTCTGAAGCCATCGCTCCCTTGCAGGATGGCTAAGTCCTAGAAATACTGTTGTTTCTCTAAAAGAAGCATCAATGGTAGCAACACGTAATGAGAAAGAACCGAATTATGCATGTGATAAACATTGCTCTTGAAATGGGCCTGCCTTTGAAATATGTTTTGGAAGGTTACCTTAAAAATAGCAGATTCCATAAAGTAACTGAAAAGATTGTATTTGATAGAGAATTCACATTTCTGACATCAATTTCTCGTTTTTATTGCTGTCTTTCTCCCCATATCTATGCTGTTATTGATAGGAGATTTGAAGGGGTAAAATTTGTTTCAGACCCCATGTATGAAGTTACAGTGCCACAGTGGAACAGAACACATTATTATCTGAGCTTGAGTGGGATGTGACATAAACATTTAGCCCTGAGCTAGTCACCATCCTGAGGATACTCGTCTGAGTAGTAATATTGATGGGTTGGGAAAGCTAATCTGGTTATATTTTAAGTCAGTCCCACAATAATGAAGGTCACGATGTTTTTAGATTCTTTTACCAAATTCAAGGCTGTGAGATTGCCAAAAATACCATTACATCTCTATTCACTCTATAACCTATAGCTTTATTCTATTCATTTGATAGTGTGATTTTATATACACATATAGAACAGCTCTGAAAGTGGTTGTTGCCTAGAGGTTAGAATAGGGAAAACAATTGGAAGTGGACTGACAAAATTTCAGGATGATGGATTCATTATTTCTAGCCTCCCAGATTCAGTTTTGTTTGCGTATAGTTAATTATTTGAATGAGGGATTGAATTCTACGTGGAAATAAAGAGTATATTTAAACATTACTGATTAAGTGCTAACAATGAGGACACCTGATTCACCAGGCTTTTGAATTCACTTCAACATCAATGTATCCTCACAGTTGGTGTCCTTGCCGTCTTCTCTGAGGGGGTGGACAGCCATCCAGCCTTGTAGAACTGGATGCTCTTTGCATTAGCCCAGAAAGGGGTGTCTGGTTGGCCAGTAATGTTTCTAGAACTTGTAAGATTCATGAAATCTTTTTATAATAGGTGTTAACTTTATCCCCCCACCCTTTATTTGTAAAATATCAGTTGAAGTAATACATTAAACTGAAGGAAGACCAGTCTAACCAACAACAGTGCTTTTACCGCATTGTTTAACAAGCCAACGGCTCTGTCCTGTACTTTGCTTCTCCATTCCTTTCCTTTTACTGGTGATCTCTGTACAGTGTTTGATTTTGTCTTTTGTAAAAATTGTACTAGGCTTAGTGTGTGGTAGTACAGGCCTGACATTTTTGCTCTGAGTTCATCAGGTGCTTTTGCAATTTTGTGGTCAGTGTGAAATATTTTGAGGCATCTTTTTATTTTCATCTAGAAACAAGATTAAAATACTATTTATTGTAAAATATGTGGGAACCATATATGTATATATACTTAGAATTTTCTGTGTACAGAGAAAGTATGTGTACACATTTCTATGTAAATAAAAATAATTTGCTAAATCTGTCACATGACTTCAGGGTTGTTTTTTTTTTAAGACTCCTCTTGTTTCTTTTCTCATGAGGGGTGTGTGTGTGTGTGTGTGTGTGTGTAAACAAGTGAGCGTTAAGATTTCCCTTATGTACATATTAAATAAAGCACTTCGGCTATGAAGATTTTAATGTAAAATAAAAGGGTAATTCACATAAAATATTTGACACATAGTCTGGTACCTGATAAGAGCTCTGTAAGTGTAAGCTTCCATTATGATTGGAATAGTAATTATTATTACAGCATGAAATATAATTAAAAACTGATATTCAAATGTTGAGTGATATGAACATATCCATGCAAAGGGAAAAATGTAAATTGGTTTACACAATTCTTGGATTTTAGCAGGGTTTGTGGAAAAGAAAGACAATTTCCTTAGGCATATTTTAATTGGAGTAGAACATATGCCACATACATTTTTAAGTCATAATTTTATTTCAAAGACTACATAATTGTCAGTAATGGTACTTGGCATCATATAAATCAGATCCCATTTAAACATGCAAATGCATACATTTCTACAAAACCATTTTTTGTCTTTGAATATTGCAGTTGAGGAAAAGGACATTCATGTTAGCTAACTTTACACTCAATTATAAATTCATCAAAAGTTAGAGTAGACCCTTTAAAAATAAAAAAAATAAACTAATAATTGTACACTTGAAACTACTATAATGTTTTATGTTTGTTAATTATGCTTCAATAAATTTTTTTAAGTTAAACACACACACACACACACACACACACTCAGCAGAAATTTAATCAGGGATATGTCAGGCATCTTTCCAGGGTCTCTCCATGCTTACTGCTTACTAGAAAGCAAACTAGTTTGAAGACCTTTTCACCCTTCAACAGAAACAAATCTTTTTACTCATCACACTGAATCAGGAAAGAGACCATATTTCCATGACTAAGAACAATGTGATCATACCAGCCACAGTCTCTATAAAATCTGTGGAAGGGAAATGAGAGAAAGAGCCTATGGACAGCATGCAGCAAAGCAGCAAGCAGTACAAAAGAAAATTGTTTGTACACAAGAAAAGTGCTTGGCACTTGGAATTTCAATACATTCTCATGATTAGAATAACAGCAACAATAAGTGTGGTTCTCTGATATGGCCACTCAAAAAAGCACCTGATACATATTACATTATATTCTTTAATCTTCGTTCTACAACACCTTTCTTGTTTTTGTGACTCAGATGCCACATGCCACATTTAGGTGTGATTGCTACATATTAAACATTCCACATCTGCCTAATTCTGTCTTCATTCAAAACATGGTTCTGCCAGGTTGGGACTGCCATTACAGCTTCAAGAGCCTGTTGTTCAGTGTGGTGGACAGATCAGCAGTGTTACTTCTAAGCCTGTGAGAAACACAAAATCTCAGGTCCTACCCCCAGACACCCTGAACTGGAAGTTTTCCTTTTTAACAAGATCCCCGTATGACTTTGTATACACATTAACAACCGAGAAGTATTTCCCTCGAGAGTCTGATCTGATTTAGTGGATGTGCTATAAGGATTATACATTTTGTATAGGGAATCTGCACCTTTCTTTTAGCCTTTAATTTTTTTAAAAAACCTTTAATTATAGTTGACACACTATGTTACATGGATTTCAGATGTACAACATAGTGATTCAGCTTCTCTATACATTATGCTTTGCTCACCACCAGTGTAGCTCCCATCTGTCACCACACAGTGCTATTACAATGTCATTGACTATAGGACTCTACATTTTAAATAAGCATCCTAAGTTATGCTCTTTCAAATAAGCTTCTGAAAATAATTTCCCCCAAAAAGTAAAGGGATCAGACCCCTTGAACAACAAAAATTACAGTAATAGACTAATAACCAAATAAAGAAAAGTAAACAACCCGATATTAAGATATAAAAGAGTAATATTTCAAAGAGTGCAACTTACCTATTGTCTAATTCAACTCCTTCATTTGACAAAAAAGTAGACCAAGACCCCATGAGTAAAGAACACTCCCAGTATTAAGTGACAAACCTGCCTGAAATACAGGTCTCCTGACTCCTAATCTCAGGTCTTATGTTACATAAGAAAGATAAATTGAAACAGATATTCAGGACAAAACAAAAATAATTGTAGTGAGTGTGTAACGAGACATGATCTAGAAGCTAAACTAAACATGAACATGGCTGGAAGTGCTCTCCTTCCAAAATCTTCAGAGTTATAATTTCCTTATGAACATAAAATTTTTAAAAACTAAAACTATAGAAAAATAAAGTCAAGATACAGCAGTCATACCCAAAGATAAGAGTCTTGGGATATATTAGAGGTACGACTGGGTAAGAATTAACATCAGTAAAACACTACATTTGGCAGAATTTTCCAGTGATTTCAACACATGAAAATATATTCCCATAAAATTAGTAAATTGTGTGAGATACTTTAATTGCCTAAAGGTCTGATTTTACCTTATATAGAGTCTTAAATTAAGTAGTTTATAAAATAGAGGATGGAGTCATGCATTTTTATTTGCAGTAAAACTACAGTTAACCTTAGCTTAATTAATCGTAACTTTAAATAAATGGAAACATAGTATGTCCAATTGTAAGAGACAAATTATAGGGAAACATTTATAGGAAAATATTAAAGATCTTTTTCTTCACAAAATATCTTATAGAAGATATTTCACGGTCATTTCATATTTGCCTTCATCTCCTGCCCCAAACTGTGAGGTCTGGAATCCTGGGCATATAAGTTAGTCTGTTTCATTTTTAATCTTCCCTTTTTTTCATCCAGTTCAGCTCCTCCATAAGTAGTATGTAATCTATCCTCAAAAAGAATGAATTAACTTCTTTGTGTCCTCCCGCCCCCAGACACTGGCTCAAAGTATCTGGTATAGAGTAGCTACTTGATCAATATCTGTCACTTGATTTTTTAAAAAATTTCCTTTGCAATACAGAGATTATCCAAAACCACTCTACCCACATAAGAGTTATCATGCACCATTTCAAACATGAACACATTACTCCAGCTGAACACAATACCCATTGAAAGCCAGCTCCCAGAACCACAGAAAAGTAAAGGCGGAAACAAGTTTAGAAATTCTCTGGAATAAGTTTTGTTTATTAGATAAAGAAATGGAGACTTAACAACATGGTTATTACTGTTCTTCCTGCTTGGTTAAAGCCATTCATTCTCTTTTTTTATCCCTTCCCAATCACGGATGTTCCCCACATTTGCAACAGAGACTCTCAGCTGCCCACCAGAATGGACCTTCCTCCTTCTCCCATTGCAAGAGGAGGTCAAGTATGTGGCTGGCCAACTAGACCATTCCCCTACCTCTCATGCAGCAAGCTACAGTTAATGGAGTGTGGGAGGAAGGGATGTCTTCATTCCAGGAGTAGACTCAAATAAAAGTGCTCTCAGGCTTCTCTGTACTCCTCCCTTTGGCTGTCTCAGGGAGATGCCCTGAGGGTCCTGAGATGCTAGACAGTGAAGAGGTAAAGCAACTGCTAGTCTGAGTGTCTTGCCTACCATGGAGTAGAGCCACGCAGCTAACTGAAAGCCCATCCTGGACTGCTACATAAGAAAAAAGCCAACATATCACTCTCAAGGTAACCAAACTATTAGTATGGATTTGTTACTGCACCTCAGCCCTACATAACGAACACAAACATTGCATAAAACTTCTCTGTGAACTTGAGCCCACTTTGATCTGCATCTGTTTAAATTGTGTCTTCGAGTCTAAGCATTGCACTAATAGTTTTGTACACACACTTTTAGCTTGCCTTATTATGTACACTTCTTCATAGGTCCTAGAAAGTAAAGTAAGTTCACCAAAGCCAGACATTACATTTTGTACTTAATTGAATGTCTCACAATGCCCAGATAAAGCCATTGCCTTTTAAGTGGTATGTACATGATAAGTTGCACTCAAAGGTAACATAGGAAAGTTATACTAAAAAAAATGGTTTCCCAAATAACTCATATAAAATACTGATGGGAAATTCTTAAAAGATAATGAAACAACAATTTCAGAATCATGCTAACTCTGCTTCATCTACTGAGACAGGGAGGAAATGTATATGTTTTCAATTTTTTTTTTGTTAGTAATCCACTTACATGGATTCATAATTCCAAATTTACCAATACAGTAAACAACACAAGACCTATTTCCCAGCCATTTTCTATAGCCAGCCTTTTCCATCTCTAGAGAAAAATCATAGTATAAACATCTAGTATATTGTGAAAGAGATATATTAATATGTTTTGGAGTGTTTTAGATGATTAAAAATGTTTTCTTCAGTTTTCCAAGATGCTTCCTTTGGTGTGTATTTTGAAGCATTATGGTACATTTATCTGTTATTGTTTCCTTTTTTAATTGAATAAGTCACTTTCAAACTCAGATTTTTAAAATTAAAAATACTGCCCATAATGCCATCACTGATAAATTAAATCTATTTATTCTTATATTTTCCTCCTCATCTTTATCCATATATATCTGTGTCTGTACATATATATATATATATATGCATAGCTTTTATGTAGTTGTAATAATGCACAGCATAGTAATTACTAAATAGGTCATTATATCTTATGTATAAAACTCTTGACTGGAATAAAAAGACACTAAGAACATTTCCTGAACTAACTATGTGGGAAATAGCATATGGCTCAATATGAACTAAAAAATGGGATACCTAGGACTAAATGAAAAATAGGATGTCCTCTGCCTTCTGTCTTTTTTGTCATCTACCCTATGACAAATAAAGCGTAGAATGACTGTAGTCCCTGAAACATAAAAGTTTTGCAGAACTTGCTGTGTCAAAGCATATATTACAAACTTTAATTAAGAGGATCCCACTCATAGTAGACTCTACGAAGCCAACTCATTCTCAGA